CCCCCCTCAATCTCTCCTCCTCTCTCCCTCTCTCTGTTCTCCCTCTCTCTGTCGACTGACGCCGGCGGCGGGCCGACCAACTGCCGCCGGCCGCCGGCGTCGGCCGACGAGAGAGGGAGAACAGAGAGAGGGAGAGAGAGAAGGAGAGATTGAGGGGGGTAGAGTGATTTTTTAAATTTGTTTACTTGTAATTTAATTTTTATATTTAGTGTTTAATTTTGGTAAAACAAAAATAGTGCAAAAAACCCAAACCCTAATAAAAAATGTTAATTTTGATGAAATTATGATATAAAAAAATTAAATTTAATTAGTGTTATTAGGGTTAGGGTTAGGGTTAGGCGAGGGTTAGGGCTAGGGTTAGGGTTAGGGTTAGGGTTCGGTGAGGGTTAGGGTTAGGCGAGGGTTAGGTGAGGGTGGGGGTTAGGGTTAGGGTTAGATGTTATGGTTAGGGTTAGGCGAGGTTTAGGGTTAGGGTTAGGGTTCGGTGAGGGTTAGGGTTAGGGTTAGGCGAGGGTTAGAGTTCGGGTTAGGGTTAGGGTTTGGGTTACGGTTAGGGTTAGGGTTAGGGTTAGGTGAAGGTGGGGGTGAATGTGAGGGGTTAGGGTTAGGGCTAGGGTTAGAGTTAGGGTTAGGGTTAGGTGAGGGTGGGGGTGATGGTGAGGTTGAGGTTGAGGGTTAGGATTAGGCGAGGGTTAGGGTTAGGGTTCGGGTTACGGTTAGGTTTAGGGTTAGTGTTAGGCGAGGGTTAGGTAAGGGTGGGGGTTAGGGTTAGGGTTAGGTGAGGGTGGGGGTGAATGTGAGGGGTTAGGGTTAGGGTTAGGGTTAGAGTTTGGGTTAGGGTTAGGTGAGGGTGGGGGTGATGGTGAGGTTGAGCTTGAGGGTTAGGGTTAGGGTTAGGGTTTGGGTTAGGATTATGGTTAGACGAGGGTTAAGGTTTGGGTTTGGGTTAGCCGAGGGTTAGGGTTTGGATTAGGGTTAGATAAGGGTTAGGGTTAGGATTAGGGATCGGTGAGGGTGAGGGTGAGGGCGGAGGGTGGGGGTGGGTGTGAGGGTGAGTTTGAGGGTTAAGGTTAGGGTTAGGGTTAGGTTTAGGTGAAGGTGAGGGTGAGGGTGA